AATAAATAAAAGTAACCATGACAATAAATAAATATCATCGTCACATGAAAAGTCATCGACACATGAAACAAAGCTTTATTCAAACATTGTTCTAACAATCATGTATTTACAGACGGTGAGCCCACATCTACTGCATCTCAACACAGCTGAGACAGTTCTGCAGCTTTATTCTGATGAAGACCACCGTGTCCACCTTCACCTGTCTCTGCCGTCCATCACGACCCTCACTGCTGCAGTCAGACTGAATCTGATCATGGATGAGAAAGGGGCATCGAGGCTATTGTCTGAGTACACAGAGGGGATGAGGAAGACCATGATGATGCTCCTGATCCACACAACCCTGAATAAAAGCAGGAGAACATGTGCGGAACAATCTGACTGTCACTCTGTCTGCTCCAAACATTTGTGTGCTGCTCTCCATGAGCACGACTGTCTGTAAAACATATAAACAGAGTAAAATATTTTACAATTAATGTTGTCAGCATTTAATTTCATATGTTTACAATTACATGCTAATTTTTGTCATAGCTTCATTACTTTTGCAGTGTAGTGGGCTAAAGCGCTGCACTGGTCAGCAGAAGGTTACTGGTTCGATCTCCGCAGTCGTCACCACCAGTGTGTCCTTCAAGCAAGGCTCTTTACTCCAGGTGGCTGCAGGGGGATTGGGGTCCCTGTAATAAGAGCACTATAAGTCACTTCGGATAAAAGTGTCTGACAAATGAATAAATGTAAATGTGATTTTTGTAAATCCTTTTTTGTGTCTTGGGCACAAACGCTCAATAAAGCTGCTTATTTCTTAAAGTTTATTTCTTCAAGGTACTACTATAATATAAATGCTTACATATATTTCATACAGTTTCTATTTGGGGGGTTTAAAGGGTTAGTTCATCCAAACATAAATTCAATCATTATTTACTCGCCTCACTGTTCAATCCTTGTTTTGTTTTGTTTTTCTGAACACAAAAGTTGATTTTAGTTAAGTTTGTCCTGCTGGTTTCTGTTCATACAATATCAGTCGATGGGAGACTGCTGAACACAAAAGGTGATTTTAGTTAAGTTTGTCCTGCTGGTTTCTGTTCATACAATATCAGTCGATGGGAGACTGACTTTCAGAAGCTTCATGACATTATTTGATGATGCTTTTAAAGCTTCTGAAACTCCGGTTTCATTGACTGATGTTGTATGAACAAACCAGCAGGACAAACTTGACCAAACTCACATCCTCAGTGTCTTTTGGTCTTTCTCTAGATGTTCTCGCTGGCTCTGGGGTCACTTAGGATGAAGAGACCACAGCAACATCTGGTCCAGGTGAGACAGTAAGAGGTGGAGTGATGGAGCCTCTCATCCATGGCACTGGACCATTTCCAGG